AGATCGCCGGCAGGAGAATTTGAAGAACTCAACGAGTAAAAATATCGCCCTATACTAATTTTGGTCCATACAACATGCACAGCAGTACATAGTTAAGTCATGAGTTATTCCATACTACTGGGCACTCCTACGAGATCGTCTCCACAACCAAAGAATCTTCCTCCACTTTCAGTCCAACTCAGAGGAGCCTCGGAGGCTCGCCACGTCAAATCACCTGGAATGGTGTGCGGACAACAACACGTTCGGTTCGCTTCAGGGGCGCCACAGAGACTCGCTGCGGCAAATCGGTTCGAATGAGGTGCGGCCAACAGTACTCTCACTCTGCTCCAGTGGCGCCTCCGAGGCTTGCCAAGGCACATCACCTCGAATGGTGTGAGGACAACAGCGCATTCAGTCCGCTTCAGAGGCGCCTCCGAGGCTAGCCACGGCACATCACCTGGAATGATGTGCGGACTGCAGCACATTCAGAATGCCTCAGAGACGAATCAGAGTGGCGCTGCGGCAAATCACCTCGATTGATGTGCGGACAACAGCACATTAAGTCTGCTTCAGTGGTGCCTCAGAGGCTCGATCTGGCACATCACCTCAAGTGATATGCGGACCACACGTGTACACTAAGGTGGGAATTCTCGTGAAGTCAAAGAGGTTGGATGGAATCGGGTGTTCCTTGTTCTCTTCACTACATTCTTGATGCTCTTGACTCCTCAAGCTCCTCGTTTCCTTCTGCTCAACTCCCTAGCTAACACGTTTATCACAGTGATTTCCTGACCAAGAAATATAGAACTGGAGTATTGGGAAAATCCTTTGATCGTGAGTGGGGCATGCTTAACCTATCCATCCCTTACAAATCCATCTTTGTGAGATGCAGTCGAACACTGAATATTTCACAAGCCCTATCAAAGTCGACAAGCATTCGTTCAGCTTAGCTAATATTTGGTGTTTTATGGACAATGTCATCAGTAAAGCGAAGGTAGTGTAATTGCCAACTATCGATTTTCACTCCCATATTATCCCGTTCCAATGTTCGCATGACGTTCTGGAGGGTGGCGGTAAATAACTTTGGCGAGGTGCCATCGCCTTGCCTAACCTCTCTTTTGACTTAAATGTTAACATCGTTGTAGAATGGCGATATCTTGGCTATGAAATCTTTGTACAGCTCACGAAGAATTTTTATGTGCTGAGTAAGGACTCACTGACTATCAACGGCTTCCATGGCTGCTTCTATCTCAACTGAGGCAGAAGTCTTCTTTAATTCGATAAAAGTGATAAAGAGCTGTCTTTTCTACTCTCGCGATACTTCAGTGAGTCTGGTTACCGTGTGGATGTGGTTTTCCTAGTCGCTTCGTCAATAATGGTTTAATAATTGCATAGTCAAAACCCTTCATTAAAATTCGATCGGAAACACACTGAGCAAACGTTCCTCATCTGTTTTAGAAAGAAATGATTAATAAAATATTGTTCGCTAAGGTATCGGGCGGTAAACCTTTTCGAAAAACGCCATGCCCGCATGGCTGCCCTTCGTCCAGTGGTCTGTCAGTCCTGCTTAGGACGACTCAAGTGAAAAGTTTGTAGACCACTCACAGCATGCATATTGTGCGATAGTTGCCGGTATCGTGGAGGAAACTCTTCTTAAGCAATAGCATGATCTTGCTGGTCTCTCATTGAATAGGGTCCTGGTATTAAGACAGGCAACATATGAAGAGCAAAACCAGTGTGTTCACGAGGACTGGCGGATGGTTTTTCAGATGTTCAGATCTTATTCTCAACTGACTTGGTGCTGTGCGATTTTTCATCGACGAAATAACGTGTCGGATTTCGGAAAGGAGAACCGGTGGTAGGACATATCCATTCGCTGGCCGATTCAAAATATTTCCGAACGAGAGTGATTCCAAGACCTTGCGAAGGAGGAGGAATTGATCCAAATCTGAAAAAACTTATGGATTTCAATCACGTTACTGCATCAGGCTATTCGTTGATCAGGTAGGGATTAAATGTGCAACGCAAAGCTGTTCGAGTGCTTTACACGGTGTCATCTCTATTTTGTGGTTTTCCGACTAAATTTTCTTCTACGCTACTCCACAAAATGTTCATATTACGTTAGTATCATGAAGATATTATTTGTATCAAACTTTGCAGATTATCACATTATTGGAACTTCACTGGGATATAAAAGTTATGGAATATAGCCAATACGATCTGAAGTAGACCGCGAGTTCTTCTTTCACTATGGACACTTCAGCGAGCTCTTGATGAAAGAGTTGCTTCCCCATACTTATTTATTTGCTCATATGTCCTCTCTCCATAGGTTATGCAATCTCTAACACTGTGTCCATTCGCCTAACTATCTTGCAACATTTTGTTTAGCTTCTACTTCCTGCCTATTATTTTTTTTGGTGACGAAAGTGGTGGTGAACGCTTTAGACCCCGGAAAGTGTAACAGCGCATTCGTTCCCCACCGCAGACACCTGCGGTTCCAAGTTTTGCAAATATCTGAGCACAATTGTGGTTGCACTTCACAATAATAATAGGCATAATATGCTACCATAAAAATTCCATTAGGCAGGAAATAAAAGCTTAATACTGTGATTTCAACTACAGCCTCAGCTTGACTGGGATCAATACCGATTTGTTCTGCCCAGATGAATTTCGTTGGCGGTTTATTGCCGATGTCACTGATCAATAGAACTAGGATGAAAGACGGGAGATACTAAGGACCCGTATGGTGTGGTGATAAACGCGTGAGCCCCCGGAAAGCACAGTATGGCATTCGTTCCCCACCGCAAACACATGCTACTCCGACTTTTGCAAATACCTCAGCATCATTGTAGTTATATTTCTGCAAGAGTTCGTCAAGCAAGCTCTTCTACGCATAAATAACAGCCGAATACATCCTAATAACGTGACAAACACACTATTAAGTGCTCAATTCCACCATTCACTCAACAAACGCTTTCTAAAGAACAACAGGGTGATATCCTCACTCCGTAGTTCCTATGATCGTCATCTTTATGGCAAGTACTAGTGCTGACGTAAAAGCTGACAAAATTCAAACCTGCTTCCTTTTCAGAATTCAAGTCTGTTTCGTCCATCTGACACTTAAAGATGGTTATGCGAATGAAATCTTCTGTTGTGAGTTGACAAGCAAGACGCTGTAAGAAACATGAACTTCAATCCGAAGTATCAAACCCACCGTTGGGAGGAGAGAAGAACTAAGAGAGGACGACTTCACTAAATTGAGTAGTCCTCAAAGGACCTCACCTTGATCCGAAATCGGCCCGACAAGCACTAGCCAAGCCTAAAGAGAAAGGAATAGGCAGCCGATAGAAGAGAAAACATTGTAATTTCGGCTACACCAGTTCGTTAAAAGTTTCCCAAGCCTTCCCAAAGTTTCCCAAGTACTAATTTTTTTGCTTTATTCTGAAAAAGGCTGATCACACTTGAAAATATACAAAGACTTTTTTCCGAACAAGTTGATTAATTAGTACTTAAGAAGCCATTGGCAGTTTTTCCAATTTAAATCGCTGTAATGAACTCTACTTATTTCAGAAAATATAGGGCTATAAATAATACCGAAACAGGTCAAACCAAAAGTACAAAACATTTTCAAATGCTTAGGACAACGTGTTTGTATGATGGGCTATAATTTTACGTAACAGCATACATACCTTCTATACTCACAGAGCTTTAGGGCAACATATCTTCTACAATTCAGTCATCTTCGCAACCCCTCAGCAGCGTTTTCTAGTTAATGAAAGAGTAGGGTTTATTGTTAGAAAACCAGCACGTCCATAAATGCCGAATAGTGGCCGTTGCCCCAAACACCAACGCCGCTAAACGCATCTTGTAGTGAATGTGGTGTATCTTAAGAGTAACATCGAGGCTTGTCAATAAATTAGCTCTAAGATATCGTCCGCCTGTTCCAGAGTTTGACAAATGAGTTGTGGTAGCTTCGCACGTGACCTCTCATTTATATATCTGCAGCTCCACACACTTGCGTCGCTCACTTCCTCCCATGTGTTCTCGTTTCAATATTGATGTGACCGGAAATAATTTCGTCTTCGAAAGTTCCAACAAATATATCTGTTTCTTGTGGACATTATTGTTTTGAACGAAAATTATTATAACCCGCGTATCCTCTGTCAACGAAAAAAAAGTTCTCTTACCAAAATATGGTGAAATAGGTTTTTTTTGAGCCAGATAACACTTTTGTTCCGATTTTGCCGTCAACGCTCATTTGCCAAGTCTCGTACCGATAGAATAAGAAGGTTTTTATCCACTGTAATGTTTTCTAGCACGTCTATTACAATAGTAGCAGCGGTGCTTTTTTCAAAGCTCTTAAAAGTTTATTTTATAGGTTTGTTTTTCCGGATTCGTCCTATTACGTCGTTCCGAGTCAGTAATTTGTTCAGCTAATCGTATAAACCGATATCGGCTTAAGGGAATAGGGCGGATAGCACAGTGGTAGTGATATCTGTCACCAAAAGCTTGGTGCTGGTTAAATTCCGCATCAGGACAACCAAACCTCTTATCCCTTTGGGGTCGGTAGATGGGTACCGGACTTATCTGGAAAAAATTTACTCTCTGCAATCCAATTGCGAACTCTCCAGTCGGGCTATCTGAGGACTCCAGAGAGAATTACTCGGCCAGCATTCTACGACATTCAAGATTAAATGTAAATCCTCAAACAGCAACCGAAGCCAAACGTGAAAACTTGGAAGACCTTCGTGTACGATGGATACGAGGAAGCGAATTGGATGTAAGAAATATTGGAATCCTTACAATACCCGTGAAAATGGATCGAATAAAAAAAATCGCGTGATCCGATGCAGTTTCAAAACGTTTCTCCAAGTGATGAGGGTTAACCGCTGCCCGTGATGAAGACTTAGAAATACCCTAGTAAAGCTACACAGGGGTTCCAAAGATCAAAAAGCACCTCCTCCGGCAATAAATCATCCTCAGTAACCAGCACACCTGGCGCCTCCATTTGCAATGTCAACGGGTGAGACAATCTACGAGTGGCAATCAAATTCCTGGATGGCTCTCCGCTTACCATGTTCTCTTAAAAGTTTTGAATAATATCAGATTTGACGAGCAAGAAAAGGGATATGCCATGTCGATGTATCTAGACTCTTGTTTAGATAGTGGAGAAAACATCTTTCCAGCAAATTTCGTTGATATATGCTTTGTTGTACACCATTCAATTGTAAACCTTGTTGACTCATACTGGTGCTTGACGACAAGATCTACAAATATGTTGTCGATGTCAATGCCAATTTTGAAAAGCCCTATTAAGTAAAGGCACCTACTTGACGGCTTAGTACAACCATTATGTGCTAGTTGTATTCTTCTTCAATATTATTGCAACTTGGAAGCAATCCTTTTCACCAATTCCTTCAACAAAAGCGCGAAAAGAATGAACAGAAACTGTAGCTTTAGCTTAGCAGAGCTCAATGGCGATTTTAGC